GCATACTTCTCTCGTGGAGCAGCTGGTCCTTTCAAACCACTGACTTTTTAGTTAACTAAGCACTTAACCACTACACCACCAGGACTCCTTTTAAATAATATCTGTCTTCCATTTCTGTCAGGATTTGGGAGGGGGTAGTCAAAGAGGCTGTTTGAGGGATCTTCAAAGAAAAAAAGATAGAGTAGCCAGTGTACCTTCCACTCTTTGTCCTCTGAAACTGGACCGTCAGTAGGCAATGGACAGAGTTCACAACATTCTCATGAGGTCGAGGACACAGAAGTAATCCACCAGCTGGCCCAGTCCTCACCCTTCTCCTAGCGGTAAGCCCTGAGAAGTGAGCATTTGCTGGTCTGCTGGATCCAGTTAATCTACTTCAGTTTCTTAGGCCTTCCTGTATAGAGTTCATGTGTCTTTTAGTTTTTTATTTTTAGGAAAACAAAGAGTTACTGGTATAAAAGCCAGTCCTTTGTGTATTTTTTTAAAGTTCTCTTATGATTTGGATTTTTTTTCACGTCATTTGTTGTATCTCCTTTTTTTTCAGAATAAAGAGCCAAAGGCCGATAAGACCCATGGCTTTTAAGACAGTTGGGTCAATGCTTATCTCTTGTGTTTTCCATTATGTCTGAGGCAGAATTGAAAGTACCAATCTCATTGAGTGTCTGTCAGAAGACTGACTTTCCTGGTTGTTTACCTCAGTTTTTCCTTAAATCTGCCATTTCATTACTTTGGGAAAATTGCATCCTGTCTTCTGTTTGAACTGACTATGACATCTAATCTGTATGATCTGTTGTTTGCTCAGACATGTCCACATAGTGAAAATGGTCTTCACCACAGGCCTGTAATTCTGGTGGCAGTCTCTGTATCTTAAATTTATTCTAGTTCCCCTCAAGTGAAGTTTTCATAAATTTGATGTTTTTGATCAAAAACGAGGTCTACTGACTCAAGTGTATCAAAAAGTAGAAGTTGAATGAGATAAAAAAAATACATATTTTTGAGGGAAACTTTCTCATTGTAGAGATTATGACCTGGTTCTAAAAGCCAGTCATAGTCAGAATCTGACTGTTGACTGGTGAGGGAAGAGTAAAAGATAAGTGTGTTAGGAGGTGGCCCAGGGAGTTCATAGAGTATACAGTTTAAGACCTTGACAGTATGATTTTTCCATGAGATTGTTCCAAGTTCTGTGTATCATAAATTGGAAATTTTGTTCTTTATCAAGAGGCATTCCCAAAATTAGACCAGATGCTTCAAAATGTAGTATGTCTGGTAAAATGTGACCACTTATATATACTCTTGGGAGCAGCCCATATATATCTGTAAAAATGATGTGGCTTCAGAGGTCTTCTAATATCATGAGGGGGTAGCATAATCAAGATCTGCATCAGCCTAAAGCAGATTTCTGAGGTAGAGGTCAACATACCTCCACTCTCCAACCTTTTTTTTTTTTTTTTTACCAATTCTGACACCAGCCATTCCACCCACACTCTCTACTTCTCTGCTGGGTTTGCTGATTATTTGCAATGGCCGCACAGAACTCACAGACCATACTTAGAGTTACGGGGTTTATTAGGGAAGTAACAGGTTACAATTTAGAATCAGGATCAAGTTGGAAGTGACAGGAATGACTCGGTACAGTTCTTCCATCAGGACGGCTTTCCAGCTGTGCCTGCAGGCAGGCTTCTCTCAGCCCTTGGCCCTTGGTCCTCACTCTCAGCCTGGCTTCTGTCCTGCTCAGGCAAGTGCTGCAAAGCTCTTTAGCTCTGTGGGTAAGTGCCCAGAGGCACCCCACTCTGCCAGGAAGCCTGCTGCCTAAAAGCACCCAGCTCTTGCTCCGTGAGTTGGTGAGCCTGGCCTGCCAGCACCAGGCTGCTGCCATCTCATGCTGTCTGCAGTGCTACAGCGCTGTTTCCTGGTTTTAGGAGGTTCTCAGTGCAGGGACCCAGGGTCTAAAGAATATGCTACATGCCTGGCTCCTGGCTCTTGATGGTAGTGAGGTGTTGCCCTCTCTGGGACCAGCTCCCTTTAAGCCTAGCAGGATAGCAGAACTGACTCCCTACAAGGGTACCATGCACCTTATTAGCCTTAGCAAAACTGCCCAATGTCCTTGTTAGGCTACAAACACCTTATTTGCATAGTCCCACCCCATCATTTTATTTATCTTGTTTAACTACAAGACCATGTCTAGAAGGGCCATAAAAAAGCAATTCACTGCACCACAGTAGCATAGAAAAAGGATATTGCATTAGGCATTATTAGAAGACAAACTCTTGGTCCCTTCTGGAGTGAGCACTCTTGAGTCAAGAGGCCTGGGATCTAGCCTTGGCCTTGCAGCCGCGTTCATGTCTTCTCTCTGACTCGCTTTGTCTTGCTTCCATATTTTGTAAATACATTTGTAACAGTGAGATACTTTGCTGCACTAGGATTGTCTCCTTTTCAAGACGGAATTCCTTAGGGAAATGGCACATTTTATCTCTGTACCCCTACAAGCTCTTTAGAATTTGGTACCGAGTCAATACTTGAATGAGTGGAGTGCGTACTTCTGGGATTCCTACTAACACTGTTCCTACTTTAAAATATTCAAAAATAACCAAGATCAGAAAACTAGAGAACAGTAAAACAGACTTTAAGGACCATTAGTAATTATTAATGTTTCTTAGAAAATAAGTGGCCTGAGGTCACCCTTCAAAGTAGGTAAACGGTTACGCTCTTTCCCTTCTCTCAGCCAAAGTATACATACTCAACCATCAGTAAAGCTCATCCCGCCTCACAGGTCAGAATTACAAATGGCAAATTGAAGGAGAGTTGATCGTGAAATTCATGGATATCAGTTTAATTCTTAAGAGTACAGATGTCAATTTCTGACATGGTTATGCTTCAAAAGATAAACATGACCACATGTTACAGCATGGATGATTTTTGTTAGTTCAGTTCCTGAGATGCAGATGCCAAGACAGGATTGACAAGACTTAGGGGAAATGCTTGTGATAAAGGAGAGGAAGCAGTCATATAGGTAGAGCCCTCACACCACAGTGTGGGTCTGACACCTGTGAAAGGTGTGGGGTAGAGAAGAAAGGTAGGACAGAAGTCTCAAACTGAAGCACAGTTCTAAGGAAGTGCTGGGCAGGCTGAGGGGGAGTCCTTAACCTATAGCTGTCACTTGGAGAAGTCCCGCTTCCTGCCGAATAGGCATATACCAGTAACTCCACTGTGCTGAGTGGCTGGGTGCAGCCCAGGGCGAATATGGCCTCAGCTCAAATACTGGGAGACCCAGTGGGTGGAGACTGTCAGCAGGAGATCTGAGAAGTGCTTTTTCACCACCACCAGTTTTCAGCTAAGTGATTTCAGAAGTATAAAATGCATAATTATGAAAACAGTATATATGTTCTGCCTTTTTTAACTACATGGTTATCAAACCAAACCCAAGCCACTGCCATTGAGTTCATTCTGACTCAAAGCAACCCCCACTGGGTTTCCAAGGCTATAAATCTTTACAGAAATAGATTGCCTCATTTTCCTTCCACAGAGCAGCTGAGGGGTTTGAACCACCAACCTTCTGGTTAGCAGCCAAATGCCTTACCCACTATGTCACAAACATACTGGTATCAAGCTTCATATCTTTCAGGTCGTGTTGCTCATACTTGGAGATCTCATTTTCCTCTTTGATGAATGAATGTGAGGTTTTAATGTGTAAAGAGTAATGAGTAGAGGCCATGGGCTAAAGAAAAGAAAAGGTTTTTAAGTTTTGGTAAGAAATATTTCAAACTATTGTGATTTAGATAAAGACTATTCAAACCTTCATAAAATGGGGGGGAAAAAAAAAACAGGCAAATCCAAAGTGGTAATTGATGCTAGATTTTTAATGGTTGCTTATGAGTTCAACTTGAAAAATTATTCTCCTCCCAAAAACAAAAACCTTGTCATTTCAGAAAATAAACACTCCAGCCTGCCACCAAAAAGAAACCGTTCACATAGACCTGCGCCTGGCAACTTCTTTCTGCACTTGGTGCAAAGCCCACATGTTTTCCTGAGGCTATGCCATCATCGCTTGAGCTGTGAAATGCAGCTGACATTAGAACTGGGATTCTCGAAGCGGTCATCCCTTTGACGTGATTGCTAAACTGAGAAGTGGGGAAGCAGAAGACAGGGTTTGACTGTCAGGTTCTGATTGTCAGGTTCTGAGGAAAAGGTAGGAGAAGCTCAGGGGCTTAGACATGCTTAAGTGCAGATTTATTAGAAGAGGTCAAAGTATTTTTATTTGTTGCATTTTCAAATAATAGAGAAATAATTTTTTTTTTTACTACTCATAACGCTTTATTTTTACTTTGTACAAAATACAAAAATGCAAATTTGAAGAGTACAGACCAGTATTGACAGGCACACTGCACAACAGCAAACCTTGTCTAGCAAGACATTAGTTTTTCATTTTAAACTTTATTTTAGTGAATATATGCAGATACAAAACAACAATGACAACAAAATCACACAGGGAAGTGAGAGGTTTAGCTATTTCTATCCCCAAAATAACACTTATTATCAAGACTTTGGATAGGGCCGACAAGAATTTAAAAAGGTAAATAATATATTTTTCCATAAAGAGTCAAAGCTACCATAAAATGTTTTTTTTTCTTTTTCCTCTGTCACACTGATTAAATTTCTTCTGAAAAGCCACACATAAAAACAAAACAAAACAAAATTCCTGAACAGACAGGAAATACTCAGGAGGGTTGTTAACCTAGGTAACCATTCAGTAGTTTAAAGAATCTTTGAGACGTTTGGAAGCCTTTCTATTCATTTCTCGGTACCATGTTCCAGCCGTCCTGCCCGCCTTTCCCTCTAAAACATCCCAGAACAGAAAAGCCTGTGTCACGGAGTCTCTGTTCCTAAGAACTAGTTTTGAAAAAGGAAGCAATGTACAAAAATATTTAACAGAACTATGAAAGATGAAGAGTCTTTTCTTCATAGCAAAGTAATCTTTGCTTTGCATGGTTTCTTCTGTATACGCTTCAGGGTTTGTTTATCTGCCCCATGAATAAGACAGCACCTACAGAATTAAAAAGAAGCAATGTGTAACTATGAGGAAGTAACCCTTAAAATAAGCCCAAAGGTGTTTCATTAAGGGGAGGTCCCAAGCCATGTTTAGCCTGTTGTTCTTCAGCAGTGCTGAGCAATAGAACTTCCTGCAATGACAGACATGACCCGTATCTGTGCTGTCCAATTTGGGAGTCACTAGTCCCATGTGAAAAGGAGCCCTGGTGGTGCAGTGTTTAAAGTGCTCAGCTGCGAACCGAAAGGTCAGTGGTTTGAATTCGCCAGCTGCTCCACCTTCCAGGGGTGAAAATGTGGCCACATCCTCCCATAAAGGTTTCAGCCTTGGAAGCATTACAGGGCAGTTCTACTTTGTTTCATAAAGTTGCTGTGAATTGGAAACAACTCAATGGCAATGGGTTTGGTTTTGGTTTTTTCAGTCACAGTTGAAGGAGCCCTGGTGGCATGATGCGTAAGCTTGGCTGGAAAATGAAAGGGTGGCGGTTCAGATCCACCCAGCTGCAACTCGGAAGAAAGGCCTGGCCCACTTCTGTGACGATCACAGCGTAGAAAATCCCATGGGACAGTTCTACTCTCGTCACATGGGGCCGCTGTAAGGTGAAAACAACCTGACGGCACCCAACAATCACCAAGTTGGTTGTGGCTACTGAGTTCCTGAAATGTGGCCAGTGTGACTAAGAAAGTGAATTTTAAATTACACTTCATTTTAATTTATTGAAATTTAAAGTTATTTAGCCACGTCCAACTAGAGGCTTTTGTGTTGGACTTTTCATCTCTGCAATACACCATTTAATTATGAAATTAAAGGCACAGTGAGATAAAAGGGTAAGGAATTGTATTACAGCAGAAAAGTAGTAAAAGCTAAAATGCAGAAGTACCTACTTTGTACAACATGAAGCTAACCTCTCTGTACTACCCATTGCCATTGAGTGGATTCTGACTCATAAGTGACCCCCACTGGGTTTCCAAGATGGTGAATCTTTGCAGAAGTAGATTGCCCCATCTTCCTTCCATGGAACGGCTAGTGGATTTGAACCACCAGCCTCTGGTTAGCAGTCAGATGCCTTACGCACGGCATCACCAGAGCTCCTTAACCTCTCTCCTCACTCACTGTCATCAAGTTGATTCCAACTCACAGCGACCCCCACTAGGTTTTCGAGGCTCTAAATCTTTACGGAAGTAGATTGCCCCATCTTACTTTCACGGAGTGGCTGGTGGGTTTGAACTGCTGCTTCTGGTTAGCAGCCAAATGCCTTACCCACTACGCCACCAGAGCTCCTTAACCTCTCTACTAGGGCGATACTATTTACTCTTCATTATCGTACTAGGACGTAGGAACTACTGTTATCCTTAAAGATGAAGCTGAGGGACAGAGCCAGGTTTGAACTCATGACTCAAAGCCAAGATTTACTGAATGAAAAATTCCCAGGTCAGAATGACAGAACGGGCTTACAAAGGCTGAAGGCACGCAGCTTCCTGCAGAGTTTAACCACTGCATTTGTAAAACTTTGGAAAAGAAAAAGGGCTGCTCTGCCTCTGCATAGGTTAACAACAAACCCCAAACCTAAAACCCTATCATGTGAAAAGTTCTATCAGTCTGTAAACAGAGTCTGCTTTTCCTGTTTCTTCAGGATGGGTGCTTAATAAAACATCCCCTGAAGTCTCCCTAAAACCAAACAACAGTTTAGTTTAGCTAGTAAAAAACACAGGACTTCTGGCAGCATAGTGCCTAAGGCACTTGACTGCTAACCAGAAGGCTGGGGGTTCAAACCCACCAGCCACTCCTTGGAAAGAAGGTTACTTCCGTAATGATACTGCCTCAGAAACCCAAGGAGGGGTTGCTATGAGTTGGATCTGACCCGACGGCAATGAGTTTGGGATTTTTTGGTTTTTAGTAAAAAAAATATCTGCCTTGAGCATTAAGCTCTTTTAAGAAACTATCTATATGGGATCAAAGTGACACCCACAACTCGAAAGACCGGAACCTGAGGGGATAGTGAGTTTATGTTAATGAAGGAGAAATAACTCAAAAAAGTGATGTGAGGATGTAGAACACAAAGAATGGAATCATTTAAGAGCTGTACGTGTAGAAACGGCTGAATTGGTGTATGTTTTCATGTGTGTATGTTCAACAACAAAAGATGGGTGGCTGTGTTATTTAAAGCTGCAAGCGTGCATAGAGGGAGATGGATTAAGACCAATGCTGTTGGGTAGAACTCTGATTCCCATATACCTTTCACATGAGTGGAAATGGAAGAGGAGAATCACTTACCTGTAGGATTATGTCGGATGAAAAATAGAAAAGGCCTGTCTACTATAAACCACGGCGGTGACGACCTTGCGATCAGAATGGCAGCTACGGGAAGAAAGGAAAGCGCGTTACACAATGGTGTGATCCAGCACACGTCTCGCTCAATGGATCCTCCAATGCTGAGGTCTGAGGACACAACAAGTCCCTGCCCATAGGTAAGCCATGAAATATCAGGCTCAGGGGTCACGATTTCCTGAGCACCCACCCAGGCCCTTCACTGTCTCATTCACTCCACATAAGCAGTATCTTTGTTAATAAAGGCCCCTACTAGTCATAGAATTTTTATGAGGTGTAAATGGCAGAAACCATGCCATGGCTCCTAGAAGTGTTTGCCCTGTAAGAAACGCCCAGTGCATGTTCACTATAAGCTACTTTCCAGTCACACCGTCTGTCCTGCTGATGAAGGCCACTGGTCTTTAGCTGTCCGAAGTCTTCCTGCAGATTAAGTCCATGCTCAGTTTTCAACTTACCTGTGCCTTCTACTTTGGTTGTCCCAGGACCTCATCTAGCACTTTTGCACTGGCAATAGGTGTCAGTCACTGGGACCCACTACCTTACAATGTTGTCAGCTCATCAGGTGTAGATACCTGACCCAAAAAACAAACTTCCTCAGGCTCCTGGATATCAGATATGCCTACTCTACCATGCTTACTGATGGCGACTTCCATTTAATAAGCCTGAGATAGTCAATAGTTCTGGGTGGAACAAACGGTTCACATACTCAACTGCTAACTAAAAGGATGGCACAGTTCAAGTCCACACAGCGACACCTCAGAAGAAGGCCTGGAGATAGACTTCTGAAAAATCAATCCCCAGAAAGCCTGTGGGGCACAGTTCCACTCTGATACACACGAGGTCGCCGAGAGTCGGAGCCGGCTGGCAACTGGGAGTGAAGGGAAGAAGGCCAAGAAGGGGAGGTATACTGCGGGACCAACCTGCACAACTAACCATATGCCTGCTGAGCCAAGCCCAGAGTATCGACGACTTGGTCTTGATGTTACAAAGGAAACAACAGGCAGCTATGCTAGTGCCTAAGGCATGTGACTGCTAACCAGAAGGCTGGTGGGTTTGAACTCCTTGGAAGGAAGGCTGGGCAATCTACTTCCGTAGAGATACCGCCTCGGAAACCCAGGGAGGGGTCACTATGAGTCAGATCCAACTCGACGGCAGTGAGTTTGGTTTGGTTTTTATTAAGAACAAATCAATAGTGAGCACAGCTGGCTTCATGGGCCTATGAACTGGGCTCTGGCTCGGGGCCCCACACCCATGGGAGGCCACCCACTTGGTTAAACCTGCTAGTTTGCTACTGCCGTCTCAAAATTCTTCCGAAGTTTTGAACAAGGGACTCTTCATTTTCCTTTTGCTCTGGCCCCACATACTGTGTAGCCAGTCCTGATTGTGATACAAGTTGGCAAACTGGCCACCAACTTTAGGCAAAATTTAGATGCTGCCTGTATTTGTCTGCAGAAGCAAGGGGGCATGTTAAATCCCCAAGCCCTCATTTCTGTGACTTTGGTTTAAATGCTGTTTTAAATGAATAAAACATAAATGCTTATTCAAGAAAGGTAATAAAGTGGCTGGTGTGTGTATCAATGGTGCCTTTTAATGATCAGAAATCTTCCACCCAGCTGCCAGTGTAGCTAAGATAGATACTTTGTAAGCTTAGAGTTTAGTGAAATCTGTTTGCCCATCTCATATGGGTAATTAGTGGGGAGAGAAACAACTTGAGACTGTTCTTTGGGCTTTCTTCAAACTGAGGAAGCAGCAGATGGGGATGTTCTAATTATCAGGGAGGCTAACACTCCTCCTGCGAGTCAGGACGCTGGCTGCTGCTTCACTGCCTCCTGTACACAGACGCCCGGTTGCCTATTAGCTCCAAGTACTTGTTTTCTGCTTCAATCTAAACAGTGGTCTTTTCTACCAATTAGAAGTTAGAATGTGCTACATCCTCCTAAAGCAGGGGTCAGCAAACAACTGTTCTTAGACCAAACCCACGGCGTGGAGTCCTGTTTTTTGTAAATTACGGTTGATTGGAACACAGGTGCCCGCATTCATCTCTCTTGCTCATGGCTGTTTTCATGCTATAGTGGCAGAGCTGAGAAATGATGCACAGACCCAGTGACCCACAAAGTGGAAACAGTGTACTTACTGGCTCACTAGAGAAAAAGTGCTGATTTCTGTCCTAAAGGAAGTGGTTTTCTTTACTGAAACAGAATCTGAACTCCATAGGGGAAGGTCTTGATCTGCTTATACTCACCCCTGTGGCCAGAGGGGCAACCCACAGTGCCTGCCTAAAGCAGGGCTCACCACCTTTCTCCCTGAGTGGCACAAATGGTTGACCATTTGACTGCTAGCTGAAAGGCTGGCAGTTCAGACCTTGCCTCGGAAGACAGGCCTGGCCATCAGCTTCTGAAAAGTCACAGCCTGGAAGGACCTGGAGAGCAGTTGGAGCCTGCACACACGGGGTCCCCGTGAGTTGGCACTGACTGGATGGCCGCTGGTAATCTCCGCCACCCATTTGCTAATCCAAAGACGGAGCAGGGGGCATTGGCTTGCCTGCCGCAGGGCCCATCCTGCCATAGGTCCCCTGTGCTTACTTGTTGCTGCTGAAGCTTTGGTTCCATCTTCACTGACTTCAATTTTTGCTTTTTGCATGATGTGAGAGACATGAAGGTTTTCTGACCCTGTTTCCAGAATATAAAATAAAAAACAACATTTGTTTGATACGCAAGCCA